ATTAGTCTATGGCCTTCTGGTTTTTCCATATAATTGTCATGCCTCAGTGTTTAGTTTCTTTGTTCTTGAAATCTTTTTTATTTGGTTTTATTTTTCAGTCTTACCTTGTTTACCCCCCCTGAGTTCTCTATGGGTTATTGTAAAAATTTTCACCACTATTGGCGATTTCCTGTTTGGTTACCTCCTGTGTTATTTTGAAAGTCATATGTTCCTTGCGCTTTTATTTATTTATTTTTTAACCTCCCCTTGCCTCTTTTCCCATTTTGAGTATATAGGCCCAGACTGTTCTTTTCTCCTTTGTGAGAGCATCTGTTTAACCTCCTCTGTGTTTCTAGTCAGTCTTACATTATGTTTTACCACCTGTTCATGGACTTTTGCCATTCATGGACTTTGATCTTCACCCAAACAAAGGTCAGCTTTCTGTTCATTGGTTTCACATGCAAGTCTCCATATCATTCACAACATCTGACAAATAAAACAAAATACTCAATATTAAGCATGCACTCTATTTAATTTCTAATTCCTGCCTTTTATTCTTTGGGTGTCATATTGATGATTATATCAATATGATTATATCAATATCAATAATTATTCCACTATGCCGATTCAATTAGCTGTCTACTGTCCTATTGCAAAGTCCCCCTAAACAGATCTTTAAAGCTGGCCTTCAGGTGTACTTGAACTTCACACCTGTAAAGTTTCATGACTGTGTTTTGCACATTTGGTGCCACCAACAGACAAACACATAAACTCTAGTGTACACGCATTGCAAACTTCTGTGTAAAAACAATCTTCTTGGCACATCTAACCTTCCCATAGCTGAAGAAATTGTTGAACAAATGGAAAAAATATAAAACTTGCGTTAACGTGCGTTAAATGAGTAATTAAATGTGACTATTGACTAGACGATTGCACTTCTGCCTTTTCTGCAGATGCAGCAGTCATGGTGTCACTGCTGTTGCCTGAGGCCTTCAGAGTTTGATTGAGCTCCAGACCTTGGGACTAAATGACTAGCGCATTTAACAGCTTCCCATTCTGTCAAACTAACTTCAACTTTTAGTTAGGAGTCAGGAGGTGCCAAGTCAGCACCCAAGCATTCAGAGGTCGAAGCAATCACTTAACAAGGAGACAAAAGTGGATCTGGAATTTTAAGATGCATTACTCTGTACCATAGCTCAGAACTAGCAACAGATCTTCACGGATGAATCATAATAATAAAATCTAATCTAAATGCATAATTTTTTGTTTCCATAATGGAGATTTTTAGGATGCTGTGGGCTTTTAAACTGTAGTCCAAGAAGCTCAAGGTACTGTATAATTTAATTTAATTTAATAATTTTTTAAAATGAGATAAACATGCCTAAACATACCTGTTCAAGTGGTTGTAAGCACCCCTCATCTGTATGTGCCCATCCGTGCATGCCATTTTACTCTGAGAAGTTCCTTAAGTTGGATTAAAATACTTGTTTCATCTCATTACATCTTGTTCTTTTCTTTGCATTTCTTTTGCTTCTCAGTAAGACGGAAATTTATAAAAACAAAAGAAGTTTCATTGTATTTTAAAATGTCTGCATCACCAAGCAGGTGCCTACAAATTTTTCAATTACACTGTTTGTATATCCCATCTAGGAGCTTTCTGCAGCTTGCACACAGCAACAGTATAAAAATACGTTGGTAGGTTTTCATTTTTATTTTTATTTTTTTAGTTGTTGTGTGAGGAAAAATAATATGTCTGGGAGTCGCATGACCAGCGGTGTCGATTGTGGCAAACGCAGCAAACTACCCAGCACTCTTCAAGCTTTGGATCTTAGTCCTGCTGAATCATCACAGTTAAACATCGCTCTGTTTTCTTTCAAGTATCTGTAACTAAAGAAGCCTTGGAGGATTACTTAATGCACTGGCAGCATCCTCTGTCACACAGACTCTCATCCGCACATCGCCAAACATACTCAGCAAAACACTCAGTGGCAGGATAGCAAATCCAAAAACAGGTAAAAAAAAAAATCATCACTGGATGGAAACGAATGCTGTAGAAATGAAGAAATGCTGCTTGATTTATTCTGTTTTCTGTCTCTCAGCAAGCTACCTTTCTGCAGATTGTTTAAATTGTCTTATTAAGGTTGTCTGAATATTGACTTAAGGAGAAAAAAAATAGTCACAGGAATAAATGGAGGTCATATAAATGTTTCTGTCAGGAGTTTTTCAGTGTATACATGCTAGTGTGGATTTTAGAGGTCAACACTAACAAGGTCAACACTCCCGAGCCAGCTTTTCCAGCTCCTCTGAGGGAACACCAAAGCTTTTCCAAGCCAGAGCTTCTGGGTCTCCTTAAGGTTGCCCATGACTACACAACCTCTCGGAGACAACATTGTTGAGGCGTTCTAATCAGATCCCCAAGATACCTCAGCTAGATCCATTCTGGTAAATGGACTGGCTCTTATATAACACTGTTCTACTCAAAGCATTTTTAACTTCCAACATGGCGAATGGCCTGTATTTGTATCCTAAGGACCCCAAAGCGCTTTACACATCCAGTCATCCACCCATTCACACACTGGTGATGGCAAGCTTATAGCCACAGCCACCCTGGGGCACACTGACAGAGGTGAGGCTGCCAGACACTGGCGCCACTGGGCCCTCTGACCACCACCAGTAGGCAACGGGTGAAGTGTCTTGCCCAAGGACACAACGACCGAGACTGTCCGAGCCGGGGCTCGAACCGACAACCTACTGATTACAAGGCGAACTCCCAACTCTTGAGCCACGATCGCCCTTACTTGTAAGCATATTTCCCCAACAGCACCACAAGATGTTCCCTCTAGTCTAGTGCTATGGAGACCAGGCTTTTGTCGAAGTCTCCATTTTGACATCCAGGATATTTCTAGCCTGACAAGCTATGCCACATCCCATGCTAGGCAGGCTAGCCTAAATATGTGTTGGAGGTTTTACATTGACACCATTTCACATTACAGGTTGTGCATCCTGACCATTTAATAGGATATGTTTAAGCCTGTAAGTCATTGTTTGACAGCTCCACACATAGCAGGGGGGGGCTGGGAGCAGTGTGTTGCTGCACAAGTTGACAATGTTGAAAAGGATGACAAAACTGAAATCAGGAACAGTGATATTTATGGCACGGTCAGCATTTTGATTGATACTTTCCCTGATATCTCATTAAGCACAGTGCTGCACAGATTAAATTTAGAACTGATGTTGGTGCTTGAGTCGGTACCTAAGTTACGCTCATGTCATAGAAATCCACCCAGTATTACTGAACATATTTCAGTTAGACATCCACTGTAAGACATTGCTAATTAATAAAACATGTTATTCTGTTTCTTTTCTTTTTTTAATTTCATAGCTGTCACTGAAGCCTCGGGGAAATGCGAGAAGGGAAAGAGGGGTTTGACACATAACAAAGGTCACTGGTTGGAATGAAACCACAAGCACTGTATAGCTCAAACTGCTAAAGCACGGAGGAGACTCAATGATCCAACTTAATTAATTAAATAATATTTCACAAATATTGATTTACTGATTTTCAGGCTCTGAGCATCAGATTGATAGCTGAGCTCATTGATTAACTGGCTAACTGGCTTGCCTCCTTCATTAACCTTTCACCCCCCCTTAGGGAGCTTTAATGATGTTTTGCAGTGTCAATACTTTGTGGACATTTTCGTGGAAAGAGGTCACTGTGTCCAGACTGGAACTACAGCTTGTGTAACATACAAAGGCATTAACAGCAATGCATACCAGAAGGAATAATTATTAAATATTAAATATGACACCCATCCTGATAATCGTCAAACTTTCTCTCTGCATCCTTACTCTCTCACCTTTCTCTCACATATACAACAAGGATCTGTTCACGCAGACAGGCCTTTGCATTCACTGTAATTTATCTTTTATAAGGTGCACACATCTATATAACACACTACCCCGCCCCTGCACTGACAGTGTACACAGATAAACACCCACACTGTCAAATCTATTCCCAATGTCTGCAGGGGGAGTGCAGCCCAACCTATGCAGAGCAAAACTACATCCAGTGCAGTGCAGTTGATTTAAGAATTCACAGCACAGCTGCACAGCACAGGAGCTATGCAGAACAAGGCAGCGCTTGCATCCTTTGCATCCCAATGAGGAGTTGGGGCTATGCTTTAACTCCAGCTGTAACTGCCTAACATCTCTGTAACCTGGACAACAGCTCAACATCATGCACGACTGACCAGGTATGAGTGAAACCGCTGCATTGTAGCTACTGGTACCACTTTCCTGCCCTTCACCTTGAAGCTATAGCTGACGAGAAGGATGAATTACAGAGCTATAATGAGGATTAATTAGGGGGCAAATAATAGCTGAGATAATATTCTAAGGGATAATACCTGAAGGCTTTAAAGGACAAAAGTCAGCATTAATTCTTGGCAAAACCGCCCTTCTCTATCTCTCTTGCCTCAAAAGGTGCCACTGGTTGGACTTGAAAAGCCGAGTCTGCTTGGGTATTAAAATCATGTGAAAACCTCATGCATTAAAATCAACCTACAGTAAGGCTGCCTCCATCCTCCGAAGGTGACATTTTGGAGATACACGGCTTTTTCACTTGACAGACGTATTATTGGTATATGACTAGATCTATCACTGCTGCTGCCGCCGTCCTATTTCATCTGCAGCGGTCCTTAACCTGGTTCCAGACTGATATGTTGGCCATAAAGACAAGGTTAAAACACTCAGCAGTTCTTGACAATAATGAAGCACTGGCCAACAGAATGCATTTACTGAAACAAGTTATGTTGCAGCCTTGGAGGTTTTAAAAAACAGTTGGCATAAAACAAAGAGGAAATATGATGCTATAGAGAGTAGTTTGATGTTGGATGCAGTCCAGTGTCTCCATAACTATGAGGCCAGTACCAGTATACTGCTGCTACTGCCGCCAAGCATCCTGTTAAATCCTTTACGCTGCAGTGCTGTTAAATCAACCTCACGCCAGGCAGTCTACTCACCTCCCAGCGCAGCTTTCATTACAAAATTCATGATGAAGCAGTTCTGTGTTCTCCTCCTTCAGTGGTCGCGTTACAGGGACAGACCTGCAGCCAGGGAGACAGAATACACAAGCTGTGACTGTAGGAACACCACTGTTTCACTCCAGTGATTCTTACACAAGTTTGATGGGATGGGTTTGGGGTGGGGGTAGAAATGACGAGGCACAATGCGGACACAACACGATGTTCAGACGGAGATCCCTGTTTGGTAAAGGAGTCACTCTAAAGAGAATATCTTCATATTTAGTAGCTCTCTGGAATTTTATTTCCATTAGCTGCGCTAAAAATGTAAAGAAACCATCTCAAAATGTGAATAAAACAGGGAATAGTTAAACTTCGAGCGGTTAAAACATCGTTACCCTTCAGGATAACACTGTGTCCTGAGTTTGGTTGAGGCACCTGTGCCCTCAATTTACAACTGCGCTCTGTCTTGCGCATTTTATGCTGACAGTGCTGGACTGCCTGCGATTTGTCTTCACGGAGATAACTCCCAGAAGCAAAGGGAAACAAACACGGGGTCAAAGATGAGCAAACCTAGGCACAATTTGTGTCACTGCATGGGTCTTAGAAAGATTGACCACACTGCTTTTAATATGCATTCTGCTGATTTCTTATAGTACGTCTGATTCTTTTGTGTGAGTATATTGGTAACTGTGGCGTTTTCCTGCATGTCTTATTCCTATAATATACATTTACATTGGATTTGTAGGTATTCAGAACAAATCAGCAGTTCATTTAAAACTTTAAAAAGAAAAAAGCTATGATTCTCTACGCTGCTGCTAAGGGGCTCACAAGTGGATACTTTGTAGTCATTTCAAAAGATTATAATGTCCCAAAGACATTTCTACAGCATTCAAAGCCTGAGTTAAGTCCCTTTTTAGGACATAACAACCATGTAAAGTTCTGCAGCATTCGCACCATCCCACTGACATTGCAATACACACTATAGCAGAATTTTAAAAAAAATCCACTTGAGAACTTGCTGCACGGTTGCGGCATCGCTCTTTCGTCAGCGATTTTATGCTCAGATGCTCAAATCATTTCCTGGATTCCTTCCTCTTCATCGGTCTCCTTAGCTGCACCTTTTTTCCTTCCCCCCATATGAACCCTCGCAGTTAACACTGTATTATTATCTGCAGCATGTCGCCACAGTTCATGCACAGAATGTACTATCTACTCTACAAGCTTAGAGCGATGCATCCCCTACTCTTTTCAGGGGACACAACTTACACACATGCCAGTGTTTTTGTTTCTTTGTTATTTTTTGTTGTTGTTTTTCAGTGGACGGAAGCATCGGCATCTTGTACCAAGTGCCCGGACCTATCAAGCACCCTGTCCCGTACAGTGAAGCCACACGTCAACATCCCAGTGGTTGCTCGGGACATCCTTTACCTTGTTTTTGATCCTCGTCCAAGTCCCTTCTAAAAGCTTCGTCGCGGTGTTAAAATCTTCTCTCCTTCAAAGGGAAGGCGCAAAATACAAGCCGTGTGTCTTAAAGGCTGGCTTGTGTCTTTCTCCGTGTCTCACCGCTCACGCTCTCAGTTTGCGGACATGCCGGGCTGCAGCGGTGGAGGAGGAAAGACTATTCCTGCAGGACGAGGGAAGAACATGCAGAGGGAGGGGGAGGGGGCAGGAGGGATGCTCATGAATCTAATCCGGGCTAACTGGAGGGTCTATCTAGTTTCCAAACTCCATTTCTTTTTCATTATAACAACGTTAAAAACTAACAGTAACAGTAAGTAACAAGAGCGCCTTAATTACCCGGTGCAACGTGCAAGAAGTAAGCTATAACAGCGTTGGTTCGTTACCTCAGATATTCTCACACCTCTTAACTGATTAGCTCTTGATTCGTTATTATTCACAATTCAAAATTCGTATTTTTATTATCTCTTTATAGAGAACGTAATCATAATGTAAACACTACGGCACAGGAAATGGTTAACATAAATAATTCATACATAGATAAATACAAACTGACCTCAATTGAAATGACCAGTGTTCACACACAAAAGAAACATGCTCCAGATTTGTTTGTTAGTATTTATGAATTCACATTATACGAAGTTCATTATAAACAACAACAACAACAACAATAATAATACTAATTAATGAATAACTAAAGCTATGACGAGATACTAAACAGGTATTATTGAGTAGATATGACGTCATTGTTGAGATCAGACTGTTGCAAGTTTTGTTTTTAGTGAGTCAAGCCAGATGTTTTGTATCAGTTGTTTACTGTCATGATGCTGAAGGAGTCCTCATATTATTTCCTCGATACACTGTGTCACAGTACTTACAGACTAGCATTTATATAACACTTTGGTGATCTTATTGACTACTAAAAGAGTTAAGACACATTTCACATGCATTCATACAGTGCCTTATTCTGATTTGTGACCTTATACACTTTAAACATTTTATCTGCTTCTCATCCATAATCAGTTTAGGGTTAACAGTTAACCCAACTGCATGTCTTTGGACTGTGGAAGCTGCAGCTCCTGGAGGTAACAACAACATAACATACAATTTGAAACAGGAACTTTCTCACTGTGAGGTGACAGTGGTTACCACTGTACCGCTATGTCCACACCAGTTTATGTAGTACTATGGATTTAAAGAAGCAGGATAACAAGTAAAGTAACAAACACAACATGTTGTAAAAGAAATGTCAACCTTCAGGGATTAAAAAATGAAGAAAGAAATACCAAAAACTGCAGTTCCTGGAATAGCCACTTGAAGCTTGCTCAAAAAGCACAGACACAAGTACGGCCAGAGGCTCCACATATTTCTGACTCTGCCTCCTGGTCTCACTCCATAGCTGCAACATGCAGATGATGCTCTGTGTAGGCTCTTGTAGGATCTCCAACTCACAACAATGCAGGAACTTCAAGAAGTCTATGCTCCAGTTTTGATGAGATTTGATGAGATAAATTTTAGTATCTGTTTCTTTGCAATGCTCGGAATTGAGTAGGGAGGCCGGTACCATGACTTTAGTTCACAGTCTGAACTTGTATGTTTTAGGTTTATTGACCATTCATAAGTCAGATTCACCCGTACTTATGCAGTGCTTTGTGACATTCAGTGTGCATGGTGCTTTTATCACCCGCACCCACACAGTAATGGCTGCGTCAACTGGAGATTCAATATCTTCCCCTTCTTTAACCTGTGGACTGGATGAGTTCAGATCAATCTGCCAATGTATGCTGGGCAACCCGCTCTATTTCTCCTGAGCCACAGTCTGTGTGAACAATGTCTGGAGCCAAAAAGTATCCACATTTTCATCCAGAAAGCATATAGAGGTATCACAGCAGCTGGATCAGGTCAGTTCTTTTAGGTTTATAGCTTGTTTTGTCTCCACCTGAAATCCACATCTTCACCTGTTCCCTGTTTGCCTACCAGCCCACCACCATATTTGCCCTTTCTCCTCGTTGGTTTGTAATGCTCTGTGCCACAGTTTTACTGCCTCCTGGGGCTGTTTGTCTGTCTATGCTTCGGTGTCAAGCTGTTTTACTGTGTGGACCCTTGTGTTTGCAGGCATTTGTATATTTCTAAGGTTAGAAGCTCTTAATTGTTCCAGTCTGTCCTTATGCGAGTCTTTCTCTCGTACACACCCTAGGAGATGACCCACATAAAGGACAAAGTATATATTTATCACCTGAACTTAACCTTGTTTCAGATGCTACGGGCCTAGTGAACCTCCAGCTCTAAAAGAAGATTTTTTTAATGCCCTTGTAACTACTTATAATGTCCGTGCTTTTTTTTTCTTCATATTGCAACATTGACACACTTTGCAGACATGGTGAGACAGACAGGCAGAGAGAACACTATGCACCAAAGGGAGCTTGTACTGCTGAATCTGCCATCAATTAATCAAGACATAGGAAGCTGTGTCCAGTCAGCACACTCTGACACACACATCCATCATGCAGTTTACAACCTAAGAATATTTAGTAACAATAGCATCACGCATACGCACGGAGATACGCCATTGTCCCGTGATTGTCCTCCATCACTACAATGTGTTTCTTCTAATTTGGGTTGAGGCTTCTACTTAGACACCTCATTATTCAGCAGCTTGTAGAGTCACCTTTAACTGTAGTATTCATTTTCTGGAAGATGTTAACTGTCTCTGTTCTTCTAAAGGAAATTTGGCCCACTATTCTTCATAACGTTAACTCAGTCCATTTAGGGTTTCAGGCATTTCTTTATGCACAGCTCGATTAAGGTCCCATCACAGCATTTATTTAGGTTGAGGTCAGGATTTTGTCTGGCCTACTCCAACACCTCGATTCTTTTCTTTTTCAGCCATTGTGTTGTAGATCTTGCTGGTTTAGGATGATTGTACTGTTGCATAACTAAATTTTGGTCAATTTTTAGCTGTAAGGCTGATGGGCTCACATTAGGCTCTAGAATAATGGGAGGTCAGAGTCAACTCATTACATATATGGTGCACAGGTCCTGTAGCTGAAAAACAAGTCCAGATCAGCACCCCTGCACCACTGTGTGGGACAACTGGATGAGGTAATTGTGTCTGTCAACACTTTGGATTTTTTTTAGCAATTTCTCTGAGCATTTTGTGGTTTGACCTTTGGGTTAATTTGCTGGCGTGTCCACTCTGGTGAAGATTTTCAACAGTTTTTTTGTTTTCCACTTGTGTATAATCTACTGTAGAATGATGGATTTCGGACTGTTTGGTCTTATAATCCTTTTCAGATAAGCAGAAACAATCGGTTCGCTCCTGATGTCTTTTCATTGGCGTCATATCAACACACACCTGAATGGTCCATTCTAATTCTCACAGTGTTCGTATTTTTTTTCCATTGCACCATAGAGTCATTGACAACTTCATATATTTATTTATTTACATGACTGTACAACATCATAATGTGACCTCAAAAGTTATCTTATCCAGCATCTTAGTTTACAGTGTGAACATCTGCCGTTTAGCAATTTTGTCAGGTTTGAAGGTATGTGGCTAGAAAATCTTTGTCAGAGAATAGTTATAAGTATGGAATAAATGAAAACGCCAGCAATGTTAGAATAAATGAAGGATAATCAGCAATGGCCTTCAATTTATAAACTTCAATTTCCATTGTAGAAATTGTTACTTGGACCTGGTCTACTTAAGCTGGTGCCACAGGAAATAGAGAAGCTGACAGTAAAATACAACACAGTGGGTGCTAAATTTCTGGCTTATGGCACTGCTGCTGTTGAATTATGGATTATGGCACATGAAGAACCTTAGTGCTGCTGTACCATTTCTTAAAGAAAGGTTTGTTTGTTTGTTTGTTTTTTAAAAGCCAGCTGTTAATTTCATTGCAGACAACTCTTCTTCATAGCTGTATGTTTAAATGCTGCCTGCACACATCAGTAAATATGTGGATTGTATCTTCTTAGACAACCCAAATCCACCAATCCCATCCCCCTAGACTGATTGACTAACCAGTAGGCCCCTGTTTTATGACCCTTTACTGGTGGTCCATTCAATACTTAAAAAACCTCCTCCACAGAAATAAGTGTGACCTTTTCACAAGAGTAAGAGTTATTATGAAATTAAGAGTATATACACCTTGAGGTTTCCTGATTTAACACTAAATAAACTGAACTAAAATGAACTGAAATAAAATGAACCGAACTGAATTGAATAAGATTAAAATATGTATTTTGTTGAAAAGTTATTTCTGTTTTATTGTTATTTACAATTTTTTTTTATCATATTACATATGATATCCCTGCTTTCATTTCTATCCCCTTGCAGACCCAAGCAAGTTTCTACATAGTTACTGTCCTAAAATAGCATAGAGCATTCATGCATCACCTCCTGTGTGTTGTCAAAGGTGCCTCTAATGATCTTCACAATGTTAAAAACGTAAGATCCATTCTACTTCCATAATTGTAGTCTTAAAATGTTAAATAGCATGATTCACTGGGGACATTGTGTGCATTAGTCATATTTAAAGTCCCCAGTGAATCAGTGCATTCACAAGGTGATAACTGCATGACAATGAAATGTCTATGTCTCTAGAGCAGATGTTCAGTATTCATATTTTAAAGAACAGATTACAATATTGATGACTTCTCAGCCCGCCCCTTTTTCTTAGTGCTGTATCATTGCCAGCGTTTCCTCTCTTTCAGTGGTAGGTCATGTTATTTATTTATTTATTTTTTCTGAAGGGCATACTGGCCTCTCTCCGGCTATTCTGTGAAGTCAGAGGGGAGGGGTGGTTTTCTTTGGATATTAGTCTGCTGTCCATCATTCCTGCTGCACTCTGAGGACCTCAGAGATGCTGAAAGAATGAAAGGGAGGAGGTGAAGTGAGGGATAAAAAGGAGGGGAGGGCAGTTGAGGGATTGCATGTAATTTATGTGTGTGTCTCTATATGTGTGAGTATGTGTGTGTGTGTGTGTGTGTCCATCAACCTCTGAAGTCCCAGACATTGGGAGGTGTGTACTGCTGCAATGCGTAAAGGCATTACAGCTTCAAGCAGTGAGCAGACACTGAGTGTGACTGACTGAAATGCTGAATGACTGACTGGTTGACTGATGGGATCAGAGTTTCATACAGTACAGTTCTCTTTATGAAAAAAAACAACAACAACAACCTGTCAAAATAGTTAAC